TTGAGACAGGGTCTCCCTGTAGCTACAGCTGGCCTGGAACTGACTATGTAGACCAGGCTGGCCTTGAACTCACAGAGACCTGCCTGCCTCCCGAGTGCTGGGATTAAAGGTGTGTGCTACCACACAAGGCCTGGATTCAGTATTCTTTACAAAAGTGACTTCTGTCTTCTGCAACCAGGCTGGACTGGTCCTCGGACGGGCATTTGGGAACCACCGTGGTCTATGGTGTTTATTGAGTCAAAGTGTAGCTCTTCCCACATGAACTTGATTTCTCCTCTTTGTTCTTGCTCTTTCTTGGTGTTGTCTAGCTCACTGTTGCCAAAGCCCAAAGCTGGATGTCATCTTTGATGCCTATTCTTGGTTCCACACCTTCTGTTTCATAAATGTCTGTCCAACATGGTCCCGTCTAAACCCACTCCCACTGCCACCATTCAGGCTTTATCATCTGTCAACTTTTCATTGTCTGCCTCCCTCCAGCCCACCCTCTGGAGCACTTCTGAACTTCTGAGAGCCTTGACGGTTCATGTCAAAACCATGTTCCCCTCTTTACTAGGCACAATGTCTTCCTGTAACTACCATGCCCCAAATCCGACTTCACTCACATTCTAGGACAAAAGCTAAGAAAAAAATTAGCTTTTCCAAGCAGTGGCGATCTGGCCTCTTGCATGCTGTCTACAAAAGCACCATGATTCTTTCCCTATCAAATGGACGTCTTTAATCTTTTCTTCAGTCCCTTCATTATCCTGGTTGCTTGTCTCAGCCACTTTGAAGTCTGCCAACATCTTTCTAATCCTTAAGTAAACAGGACAAATCACTCTGCTTGGAGACATGAACTCCCTGCCCTACCTTGGCCTTTGGGATGTGGGCTGATTGAATAGCAGACAGGGGGTGGGAGGCTAAGCTCTGCCCCTCATGTTGGTGGGAAGTGCCGCAGGGAAAGGAATTCTAAAGACAAACTTGTAGCTGTGGCTCACCTGGGCAGTCCTCAGTGTCTGCAGGGCCAGCTGCTGAGCTTTTGGGGACGAGCAGGGCAATAAAGCTATTAGACCTTTATATACTTGGTTCTGGTACTTGGGATTTCCATGGACCAAAGCATCCAACAGAACCTGAACTTCCTCCTGGGTCTCTTCTGACTTAGATTTTGCCAGAAATTCTGCTATGGATCGCACACCTGGGCAGAGAAGAGAAAATGCTCAATTGGACAGGATTCATGAAAGCAATTCTTGCTCAAGACTACATAATACAAAGCATATGAAGAGCTTTTCAACTAAGCTTGTTCAATCAAGCAGAACTGAGGCTTTCGTGTTGCATTGCTGTTGTGTTTACTTCCAGCTTATGTGGTCAGGGGAATTTTGTTTTAAGGGCTGGTTGTGTGTGCGTGTGCGTGTGTGTGTGTGTGTGTGTGTGTGTGTGTGTGTGTGTGTGTAGTTTAGTGGGAGACTACCTGCCTAGTATTCATGAGGGCTTGGGTTTGCTAACCCAGCACAGGAAAGAAAATATGTTTCATTAGTTTGTAGGGTCATTTTAAAATTCAAGATATAGTTTTTGGTTTCTGTGCTGGGAACTACACCCAGGGCCTAGTGCATGCTAGACAAATGTTCTACCACTGAGCTGTACTCTCAACCCTAAAACATGCATTTAAAAAAATTGCTAAGTGATAAATGTGTAGAATTCTCAGCAGTTTACATTTTGTATTGTAATACAACCTCATTTGTACTACCTCATTTAAATATTTTATTTATTATTTTTATTTTATGTGTATGTGTATTTTGCCTGCATGTAGGTAAGTGCACTTGTTTTGTGCAATGCCTGCGGAGGTCAGAAGAGGTTGTTGGATCCTGTGGGACTAGAGTTACAGACAGTTGTTAGCTGCCATGTGGGTGCTTGGATTCAAACCCGGGTCTTCTGCAAGAACAACCAGTGTTCTTAACCGCTGAGCCATCTCTCCAGCCCCAATACTACCTCATTTAACCTGAGAAACTATATACAGAAGATTTTCCTCTCATTTTATAGATATGGAAATTATGTATTGCTAACCTTTTTCACCAGAAAGCTCTTAAGGACAGGTTTTGGGGGGAGGGTTTTGAAACAGGATCTCATGTAGCCCAGCTGGCCTCCAATTCAATATGTAGTCAAGGATGAATTTGAACTTCTGACCATCCTGCCTCCACCTCAAAAGTCCTGGAATTACAGGCATGTGCCACCACATCCAGGTTAGGGGCTATATTTTATTTATCTTTGTATTCTTAATACCTTTACATATACCCAGCACACAATAGGTGATCAATAATTTTATATTTCAGTGTTATTAAAAGCATTGTTTATAACTAAATTTCACACATGATTTTAGGCAATAGCCAATAAAAGTTTGTTGAATGGGGGGACTGGAGAGATGGCTCAGGGGTTCAGAGCATTGACTGCTCTTGCAGAGGACCCAGGTTCAATTCCCAGCACCCACATGGCACCTACAAACCGTCCTTAACTCCAGTTGCAGGGGAATATGAAGCCTTCTTCTGACCTCCTCGGCATAGTTCAACATGGGTGCACTCACATACATGCAGGCAATACACTCATACACATAAAAGTAATAAAATATTTTTTTTAAAAGTTTGTTGAATGGATGCATGAAAGAGAATGTGTTTAAAATAAGAGGGCTGGGATATGACTTGGTTGGTAGAGTGCTTACTTAGCATGCACCAAGCCCTGGGTTCAATTCCTAACACTGAGAATGCTTGTAATTCCTGTCTTCAGGAGATAGAGGCAGGAGGATGAGGAAGAAGTTCAAGGTTGTGTTTGGTCTTGTAGAGAGTATGAGGTCAGTCTGGGCTGCATAAGACTATGTCTCAATAAGAAATGGGCTGGAGAGATGGCTCAGTGGTTTAGAGTGCTTGCTGCAGAATTATGAGGACCTGAGTTTGGATCCCAGCACCTACATAACAAGCTGCGCATCCTGCCCATGCCTGTTATCCCAAGCTCTGAGGTAGATGGAACTTGGTAGGTTCCAGCTTAGCCAAGGAAACTCAAGCCCCAGTTTCAGTGAGACCCTGCCTAAAAGGACTAGGCAGAGTGATAGAGGAACACACCTGATGTCCTCTCTTCCAGTCTCTGTGTGTACAGACATAAGTGTATACACACATACATACAGACACACACATTAAATTTAAAAATCTACAAAAACCCAAAGCACAAACCAATAATAAAATAAAATACAATGGAGTATTTCTAAAATCACCATTGAAAATTTGAGTAAATTAAATGGTGTATCAGTAAAGCCATGAATCTGGTTTTGTGGTGGTGATGTGGACAGATGTGAGTAGACTGAACTAGATGCTTTCTGTGCCCCCAGTGGCTCTTGATAGATTTTTTTTTCCACAGCAGTGTGGGTTCTGCCACCCCTCCACCCAGCCCCGGGGAGATGTGGGGTCCGCATACTGGCACAGCAGTACCCACCATAACTTTCACAGATAAGTTCTTTGTATTTCCTGCCATTGCTTGCAATAATCTGAAGTAGTTTGACAGATTCCTTTTTGTCCTCTTCCTTGATTTTCTCTAGGCCAAGTATTTCTAAGAGTGTTAGGACACCTCCAATCTCAAGAAATTCTATCAGGTACTGATTGCTGTCCAGGGGGAAACAGTAGAAATAAGACATTTGTCAAATTCCTTGGTACTGAACTTTCGAAGGTTCCCAAAGCCAATTTCTTCCCACGCCCGCCCCCCCACCTTTGGCAGAGTCTCCCTGTAGCCCCAACTGGAATTTATTATGTAGACAAGGCTTGCCTTTATCTCACAGAGAACCACCTGCCTCTACCTCCTGAGTGCTGGGGTTAAAGGCGTGCGCCACCACACCTGGTTCCAAGGTAAACACTTGCCTCCTATCCAGGAAATGTCCATGGATAAAGAGAGAATTGTTTGGAATCTTTTTTTAGACTTCATTTCACCATTTGCCTGGCTGCCTTGAATTTGCTAGCCTTCTGCCTGAACTTCTGGAGAAGCTCAGATTACAGGCATGTACTACTGTTCATTGCCAAGAAAGTTCTGGAACTAAATACAATGGACATTTTTTTTTTTTTTTTTTTTTTTTTTTTTTTTTTTTTTTGAGGCAAGGTTTCACTATGTAGTCCTGGCTCATTGGAACTACTACGTAGACCAAGCTGGCCTGGAACTTGCACTCATCTCTTGCCTTTGCCTCCCTGGTGCTAGAATTACAGATGTGAGCCACCACACCTGACTGGCGGGTCCGTCCTTTTGAAGAGAGATCAGAATGGTTATCTCAGTAAAGCCACTGGAAGGAAGTGACTGGTCAATGACATAGCATTATTTTAGTAAAACACTTAGCAGAAAATTCAGATCTGCATTGTTGAAAGTTGAAGAACTTTGTGTCACAGTGGTTTGTTAGAAGACCTTTATCTCAACTCTGTGAATGACACTGGGGCAACTCACTCCTATGAGGGGCCTTGAGGAACAGGAATCCTGCTCTGGGTTGGGTCCCTTAGAGCTGGCCTTATAGGCAGTTGTGAGCCTCCTGACCTAGTTTGGTCCTTCCTTCCTTCCCTCCCTCCTTCCTTCCTTCCCTCCCTCCCTCCCTCCCTTTCTCCCTCTCCCTCTCCCTCCCTCTCCCTTCCTTCTCATCTCTCTCTCTCCCTCCTTTTCTCCCTCCCATTTTCTCTTCTCTCTCTTCTCTCTCTCTCTCTCTCCCCACTCCCTCTCTCTTCAGTCTTCTTCTCCCTATTGTCTCCCTACTGGCACTTCAATTGTCCCTTGGAGAATCATGCTTCCCCCATTTGTGAGCCATGTGGGTTTTGCAGGGCATACATGTAACAGGGAATGCCATCCTCTTAAGTGCAGAAATTGGTTTGGGGCCAGGTATGTGACCTAAGTTGATCCATTGAGCTCATACCTGAGATATTCTTGGGACCCCCAAGAAAAAGATGTACTGTTTTGTTAGTGTGGCTGAGCTACAAGGATGAGTGCCGGGAAGACTGGAGGCCCCCAGCACAGAGGCCTGTGAATGAGAACAGATGAGAAAAGTAGGAAACAAGGGATGAACAGACCAAGCACTGGTGACATTATCAAGCCCTGGGGCTGAGCAGGCCTGAAATATGTATGTCCACCCTCTGGTCTTTTCACTTAAGTGAGCCAATATGTACTCTTTTCCTGAGTCTAGAATAAGCTGGTTTTCAATAATTCACAACCAAGAGGGTGCTGACTTGTGAAGGGTCAATGGGGAATCTGGGATGGTGGAGAAGCGACTGGAGCAGAACCACAGGGGAATGCAGCCTCTAGCCCATCCTGGGTGCTTTGATGTACCTGTTGATACCTAGACTTTATGGTTCCATGTGGCCTGAATACCAAGAACCAATAACACCATGAATATGATATGGCACTGAGACCTCAGGGTCTCTCTAGAATGGAACTTACCTGCTCACGGCAGATAAGAAGATGCCAATGGACCTCAGGATCTTTTCTAAACTGAAGCCAGTCATATAACTGCGGGACAAGTTAAAGAGTGCTTTGGGGAGGTTTTTCACTTAGGCTTAGTACCCCTGAGAATCTGGGATGGTTACACAGTTGAACTGTGCCCTTTTCCCTGAGAAGAGCCACTAGCTGAAGGGTGAGGGCCAACACATGGTGTGTGTGCATGTGGGCAGGGGCAGAGTGTTAGTTTGTTCTCTATTCTCTAAGTTCTTCCAGGGCAATTCAGTCACCTAGACTCGACAGTCTCCCCAAGGAGCAATGAGGTTTGCAAAAGTCAGTGTGTGGAGAAAACTGAGGGTCACCAAGCCTCTCCGAGCCACAGCTGTTGCATCCTTGGGTCTCACATAGCTCATTCTTTCAGGTCTCATTCCCAGACTTCTCTATAAAGAATTAGCTTCATCATTAATTCTCAATTTTGTAATTGCTCAAAGTTTTACACTGGAGGTCACTATCCTTATGAAGAATTGCATGGCTTTCTAATATGAGTAACAGGAGATGGAGGAAAAATTAAACTCTGATTTAAAACAAGCTCAGTATTTAATGTTATTTTTTAATGTGAGCCTTTGCAAAAAGCTTTATTGTAATAAAGTACCCAGAGCACGCATCAGCTCTGATACAAGGTATGAAATCAAGCCACAACAGAAAGGGAACCAGTCAACAATTACTAGGCTCATAACACATCACAGGCTCTTAGAACACTTAAGAAATTAGCTGAAATTATTGCAGCTCATGGAGGATGACTGAGAGCTTCCAAGACTGATAAAGGCTAATGTAATGGGCTGGAGGTAATGGTGCTTTGTTGGGGGGCGGGCATGAGGCAAATTATCTTTGCTGTACCCTGGTTCCCAGGATGCCTATAGAAGTAGAGACAGATTGGCTCATTAGGAAAGGCTTTGCTGCAAAACAGTGTTTGCTCTGGAGCCAGGCTCCCTTGCCTGTAGCATCCACCACCAAGCCTAGCTTGTCTTGCTTTTGCCTCCCTTCTCCCTCTCCTTCTCCCGGCCCCACTCTCTCTCTTTCCTTTACTTTTGAGACAAGGTCTCACTATCTAACCCTGGTTGTCCTGGAACCAGTCTTAGGTTCAAGTGATTCTCCTGCTTCTGCCTCCTAAATACAAGAATTACAGGCATTCATCACCGTGTCTGGCCTCATCAAATCCTATTTCAATGCAATATTTAAAATAACTGAAATTAAAGCCAGGTGTGGTGGCTAACACCTGTAATCCCAGCACTTGGGAGGCAGAGGCAGGATGATTGCCAGGTTAGCCTTGGCTAGATAAGTTCCAGGACAGCCAGGGCTATATAACAAGACCTTTCTCAAAAGGAAACAAGCACAAAACAAAACACAACAATCAAAATTAATACAAAATCCTTGATGAATAAAATATCAAAGTTTTAAATCAAGCCAGGATTGGAGCCTGCACCTGATGATCTTGCCTCTCTCACTTCACAGTGGTCAAATGGAAATATTAAGACAAACAGGGAAACTGGAGTCTAGACTTGATATCAAAATGGCTGCTGATAAACCTTGAGTTGGGAGTTGTGCGGAGAGAAGCAAGAGTTCAGGCATTGATGCCTTCTCATGCATGCGGGCAGGCGTTCTACCACTAAGCCACCACATCCCTATAAGCTCCAATGCTTGCTGAGGCGTAGCCTGTGAACTGTGGCCTCAGAGTCACCCAGGATGCTTGTTAGAAAGAGAACAGGATGAAATGGCACATGTCTGTAATTGCAGCACTTGGGAGTTGGAGGCAGGAGGATCAAGAGTTCAAGGTCATCACTGGTGACACTGTAAGTTCAAGGCAGCTTGGACTACATGAGACTCTGTCTCAAAAAATTAAGAAAAAGGGGGCTGGAGAGATGGCTCAGCTGTTAGTTAAGAGCACTGACTGCTCTTCTAGAGGACCTGAGTTCAGTTTCCAGCACCCATATCAGTTATGGCTCCAGGGGATCTGATGCCCTCTTCTGGCTTCTGAGAGCACTGTACTCACATGTACATACCTATACACAGACACACATAATTAAAAATAATAAAAGTAGGGGCTAGAGAGATGACTCATTGGTTAAGAGCACTGGCTGTTCTTGCAGAGGACCTGGGTTCAGTTCCCAACACACACACAGTGGCAACAGTCTGTAACTCCAGTTCCAGGAAATCCAATACTCTCTTCTGACCTATGTGGGTATTGCACAACAGGGGTGCACTTACATACAAGCAGGCAATACATGCAAACACATAAAAGATAAAAACATAATAAAAATCTCACAAAAAAGTCAGGGCTAAATTGTCAATCAACTAAATCAACCTTTGGGTGAGATGGGAGGCAGACTGGTAATTAATATATTATTGTATTTATAATGTACTTATTTTTTATGATTTAAATTTTTTTAAAATTTATTTAATTCTATGTATGTGAGTGAATTGCCTGCACGTATGTAAGTGTACCCGTGTCATGCAATGTCCATGGAGGTCAGAAGATGGCACTGAAGTCCCCTGGAACTGGAATTATGGATGGTTATTAGCCTCCATGTGGGTGCTGAGAATTGAACCTGGATCCGCTGCAAGAGCAGTCAGTGCTCTTAATGCTAAGCCATCTCTCCAGCTCCATAATGTATTTATTATTTTTAAATTTTAATTTTAACATTTTGAAGTGCTAGGGATGGAACCCAGGGTCTCATGCACACTAGGCAAATGCTCTACCACTGACCTAATACCCCCAGCCCTAAAGTGCATTTAAAAATTGTTTTTAAATTATTTTATTTTTAAGATTTCCTTTTTTTTGGAGAAAGAATCTCCCTGTAGCCACAGCTGGCTTGGAACTCACTATGTAGACCAGGCTGGCCTTGATCTCAGAGAGATCCTCCTCCCTCTGCCTCCCAACTGCTGGGATTAAAGGTGTGTACTATCACACCCTGCTAGATTTGTTTTTATTTTTGTATATGTATGTGTACCTGCCTGCATGAGTTAATGTGCACCATGTGCACTGTACATGAGCCATCAGAGGCCAGAAAAAGGTGTTGGATCTCCAGGAACTGGAGTTACAGGTGGTTGTGAGCCACCATATAGGTGCTGAGAACTAAACCTGGGTCCTCTGAAAGGGTAGTTAAGTGCTCTTACTTGCTGAGCCATCTCTCCAGCTCTATGCTAGGTGACAAAAATGCAAAGATGGGTCAGAGAGGTTCAGCTTCTGCCCTTCCAGGGCTTACAGTCCACTGTGGTGTAGAGGAGGGAAGGTTTTAAGCAACAATGGTAATAAAATGCTCTGGCTATCAGGATAGCAGTGTATGTAGTGGGGAGCCTCGGGTAATCTGGGGCTCAGAAAAGAGCCTCCTGAGAATGTGATGGCTAAATTGGGGCCTGAATAGGGGAGCAGGAGTTAATCAAGTAAAGAGGGATTACAGAAGGGGAGAGGGTTCAGGCAAGAAGAAAAACATATACCAAAGAGGTCTAAGGTGGGCTGGTGGGCTGGGGGTATAACTTTGTGGTAAAGATCTTGCCTAGCACGTGTGAGATCCTGGGTTCCATCCCCAGTACCAGAAGACAGAAGGTCTAAAGTGAATCAATCAAGTGCAAGAACACGATACTACTATGCACAGAGCAGTAATGGCCTCAAATTCACCCATATTTCTGTCATAGCAATGGGCTTCCTTTCTTTGCAGGTTTTTAAACAAGGTCTCATGTAACCCAAGCTGGCCACCTGATCTTCTGTATCTTCCTGTCATGTGTTGGAGTGCCCTGTGGTTCTCTTCCCATTCACCTAGTTTCCTAGGCCAGAAATCTATCATCCTGTGACATGAGTAGGGCTGGTGGTTGGAGATACAGGCTAAGGAGCTCAGATTCCAGAGGGAAATTTGAAGACTCTCCCCTTGCAGTGATGTTGGCATCTTAACAATGAACTTGAGTTTTCAGGGAGAATCACAGTGAGCAGAGAAGGGGCATGCGCATGGAGGCCCAACACCAGCACTTAAGGGAAGGCTGAAGAAGAGGAGGAGTAGACAGAAGGAAAACAGACAACCACGAGAGTTGGCATCGTAGAAATCATGGGAAGAGTGTTTTGAGAAGTGGGAAAGGTTGGTTGAGAAATACCACAAGAGGCCATGCATAAGGGATGAGGATGTGGTCACTGGGCTTTGCAGTCAGAAAACCACTGGTAACCTTGGCAAGACTCGCACTGGTGGTACAGAGGGAGTGGAAGTGAGACTAGTGGGCAGAGGAGGGAATAGAGAGGAAGTGGGGATAGGGAAGGGAAGGAAGGAATTGAATGAATTTAGGTTTGAGACTGAGATTTATTTTTATTATTATTATTATTATTATTATTATTATTATTATTATTGAAGCAGGGTCTTGCCATGTAGACCAGGCTGGTCTTGAACTCACATAGTTCCACTGACTTCTGCCTCCCAAGTACTGGGATTAAAGACCTATGCCACCATGCCTGCTTGAGATTGGGAATTTAATTTTAATTAATTTTTTTGGTCTTTTTGAGATAGGGTCTCCCTGTAGCCCCAGCTGGTTGGAACTTGCTATATAGACCAGGCTGGCCTTGAACTCACAGAGATCCTCCTGCCTCTGCCTCCCAAGTTCTGGGATTAAAGGCATGGGCCACCACACCAGGCATCAATTAATTAATTTTATTTATTTATTTTTATTTTGTGTGTATGACTGTTTTGCCTGCATGTATGTAAGTATACTCGTGTTGTGCCCATGGAGGCCAGAAGAGGGCATTGGCTTTCTCTGGAACTGGAGTTATGAATGGTTATTAGCTGCCATGTGGGTGCTAGGAAGCAAATCTGGGTCCTCTGGAAGAGCAATCAGTGCTCTTAACCCCTGAGCCATCTCTCCAGCCCTTAATTTTATTTTAGATGCTAATCATCGTGCCTAGCCTATGGGATGCATGCTTGCAATCCCAGCACTTGGGAGGTGGAGACAGGAGGATCAGTTCATCTTTGGCAACACAGTGTTTGAGGTCAGCCTAGGCTACATGAGACCCTGTTTCAAGGGGGAAAAAAAAAGTAGATGAAAAAAAAGTTGGTAATGAGGCAAACAGAAAAATTGCAAGACCAAAAATAAACTCCCTAAGAAGATGGAGAGTCAAGTGCTGAATAAATACAGATTAGCCTTAGACAGAGGAATACTGCTTCATGTCTGGTGAGATTAAAAACAATCAGAGGTAAGGATAAGGATGTATTAATTGATTGGGAAGACAGGAAATCAGTAGAGCTCTTGATTTTTGAAGTATTTTTATCACCACATATTCTGTTCTAAATATTAGAATCAAGAGAAAGGCTCCCTCAACGGTATTCTCTCTTGAAGCCCCACCCACCCACCTACCAACTCAGCAAAGGATATGTGATTCTAAGCCAGGTAGTCAAGCGAATCAGGAACAAGCTGGCTCCCTGGGAAAACTCCAGCTCCAATTCAGGGCCAGTCTTGCCTTTGTTGGCTTCAATGAAATTGGTGAGAATCTGAGTCCTCGTGCCTTTGCCCGCATTGTCCCACTCCTGCAAAAAACTTAAGAGCCGGCTGATGGCTGCTTGCTCCTTTACAGAAGTCATGTTCAGTAAGTCCTGAGGGTGACTACAAGGTACAGAAAACAGGTTAACAGAACATTGAGAACCATGAAAAGCTAACTTTTTGGGCTTTGCTCTTCTACTCATCTACTGGAGGCTGGGGGAGTCTTTGCCCAGGTAGAGTTTCATGTAAAGCCACTCCAGGGGCTGAGAGCATGGCTCTCTGGTAGTGTTTGCAAGAGGTTCTGGGTTCCATTCCTAGCACTGTGCAAAACAAAAAGAAACAATACTGATGGCTGGGGTTACAGCTCAGAGGTAGAGCACTTGCCTTGCATGTGCAAAGTCCAGACTTTGATTCCCAACTCTGAAAATAAAGTCCATTCTAGGACCAGCCACTTGCTACTTGAGCAGGGAAGCTTTAGTTAGGTTGTAATGGAGTAGAAAATATCAAGGTAGTCCATCCAGGTATGGTGGCCCAAATCATATGCCCAGGACTCCCAAGGCTGAGGCAGGAAGATCATGATTTCAAGGCTAGCCTCAACTTCAGAGCAAGATGCTGTTTCAACAACAGTAGACTATGTAGATTAGGCTGGCCTTGACTCACAGAGATCCACCTGTCTTTGCCTCCCGTGTGCTGAGGTTACAGGCATGTGCCACCATACTGACTTTTTTTTTTGAGACAGGGTCTCACTTTGTAGTCCAGGATGGCCTTCAACTCACTGCAATCCTCCTGCCTTAGCGTTCTAAGTGCTGGGATTACAGGAGCGTGCCAGCATGCCCAGCTAAATATATATGCTTTGTGTGTGCGTGTGCGCACATGTGCACATGCAGAGGCCAGAGGTTGGTGTTTGGTATCTTTCTTAACTACTCTCTACCTTTTTTTCTGAAGCTGGAGTTCATCAGTTTGACTAGCTGGCTGCCCAGCAAGCTCTAAGTATTCACCTGTCACCACAACCCCCTAGTGCTGGGGTTATAGACAGGTGCCACCATGCCCAGCTTTTACATGGATGCTGAGGATCTGAGCTCAGGTCCTCATGCTTGTGTGGCAAGTGCTTTACCATCTCCCCTACCCCTGAAAATCTGCTTTTTTAAAAAAATTACTTTTATGTGTAAATTTTCCTGCAGTACCCATAAAGGCCAGAAGAGGGCATCAGATCCCCTGGAACTGGAGTTACAGATAGTTGTTAGCTGCCATGTGGGTGCTAGGAGCTGAACCCAGGGCCTCTGTGAAAAGAGCCAGTGCTCTTAACTGCTAAGCTGTCGCTGAAGCCCCTGAAAATTTGCTTTTAAGAGGTAAAGGCATCTCTGTGAAGGCCAGCAACTAGAAAAGACAAGATCCAGAAAAACACGAGGCACTTGCTAAACATGTTAGTGTCTCTCACAGCTTATTTTACACAGGGCCAGAAACCTGGGGTCTTTTAGAGATCCTGCCCCTTCCTGCTGAGCAGTCTGGGTAAAGTACTTTTTAACCTTGTATTAGGGCTTTTATTCTAACTCTCTAAAACAACTTTAAAAAAAAGTTAGTGGGAAGAAAAACTTCCTGTTCCATAGTTGGATTAATGAGCTGTGGTTTGTAGGAGCCTGTGTCCTTGGGAGGGTATTTCCAGTGGGGGAGGGAAGGTTTAAAATAAACCCGTTTTCCAAAAATAGTTGTGATTGAAAGTGTTATTATCCATAACAAATGTTAGTGCTGATGGAATGGAGGCGTGTGTGATTCTTTTGTCTAACAGACAAGTGAAAGTCATATTTCACATTATCATGGGGTTTTCTGTGATTTACAGAATATTTGTGAAACATTACTTGCAGTGACCATGATTGATATGGAGGGAACAGCTTGTGTGTAGGGAGATGTGTATTTCACAAAGACTGTTCAACATGAAATTTACAGTCCCATAAAGTGCTTCTACATCTTCGCCAGGGATCTAGTTAAAAGGACTTTACAGTCTGAAACATCCTAAAATTGATTCTAAATTAATGTTTCCTCACATGTATTTGAGATATTGATGGGACCCCACTATCAGAATTTTATTAGGAAGCAATAATCTGAGGCATGCTGAGACAGACATACATACACACCAGTCTCCACTACTCCCCAGAGGACGCCGGATCTGTGTTCCTAGGAAGGACGACCACGCTGCCACAGGAAGGAAGACACCACGAGGTCCTGTCAGCCTGAAGAACTGAGGGAACAATCGTGGACCCACATAAACACAAAAATGACCAAATCTTTGTGGGGCGATGCCATCAGTTACAAATGCCATTGCAAGTCAGAGGCGTGAAAATAACTTTCACAGGCTGTGGACACCTTTTACAGCCAAACTGGACTCACGAAAATGGAGTCCAATTAGTGGTTGTTCTAAACCCCAGGGAGGCAGGGATGAGACACTAGCATTAACCTTAATGAATTCTTCCTAGGGTCAAAGCCACAAGTTTTGCTGGAAATGTACCCAGCAATTTTGGGGTAGGAAACTCTAGGCAGCACATTCCATCTTAGGGTCCCTCAAAGATTCCTTGGATGTCTGTATTCCCTTATGTTCTTCCTCCACCCTCTGTTTTTCTTTTTCCTCTTTTGAGACAAGGCCACACTAGGTGGGCCTTAAACTCATGATCCTTCTGCCTCTGACTTCTGAGTGCTGGGATTACTGGCTTATGCCACCATGCCCAGCTTCTAACTCTTAAATATGCAGGAAAAGCTAGTCAGGTACAAGGTGCTGTGGGAGACACAGAGGTGTATGTGCCCTATCAGGGACCAGGAGGAGCTGCTGGTGCCACAGTAGAGTGGAGGATCATGACATTTGGAACTAGATTGCTCTCAAGGCAAGGCTCCATTTCTTGTTACTTACCATAAAATCAAAATACACCTGCCTCAATCTGTGGCCTTCCTGCCTCTCTCCACAGAGGCAGTCACTTTCAACTTTTTGGCTCTTCTGATATTTACTCCCACATTTCCAAATGATGAACTTGTTGCTGAATGAATTATGTTTCCCTCAACTTCATATGTTGAAATCTGGATTCCCCAGTACCTCGGAATGTGACAGTATTTGGAGACAGGGTCTGTGTGTGCAGGTGTGCATACATGTGTGAATGCAGATTAACAACCTTGGATGTCATACCTCAGATGCTGTCCACATTGTATTTTGAGACAGGGTCTCTCACTGTCCTGGATCTTACCAATTAGGCTAGGCTGCCTAGCTAAGGAGCCCCAGGGATCTGCCTGTCTCTGAAGGATCTGGGATTACAAGCATGCCACTACATCTAAGTTTTTTTCTTTTCTTCTCTCTTTTTCTTTTTACATGGGTACTGGAGATTGAACTCAGGTCCTCATGCTTGCAAGGCAAGAACTTTACAAACTGAACTATCTTCCCAACCCTAGACAGGGTCTTTAAAGAAGCAATTAAGGTAGGATGAAGTTGTTAGGATATACCTTTATTTAGTATGAAGGTATCTTTACGAGGAGAAATCAGGGTCTAGTGAGATGGTTCAATGGGTAAAGGATCTTGCTGCCAAGCCTGACAATCTGAGTTCAATTCCCAGGTCTCACATGGTGGAAAGAGAGAACTGACTCTCGCAAGTTGTCGTCTGACTTCGATACGTGAGCCATGACATGTAAACAGTCTCCCTCTCCTGATAATAAATTTTAAAAATATTGTATTATTTCTATTTTATGTGCATGAGTGTATTGCCTGCATGTATGTGAGTGCACCCGTGTTGGGCAATGCCTCAGCGGTCAGAAGAGGGCTTTGTATTCCCCTGGAACTGGAGTTAAGGACAGTTTGTAGGCACCTTGTGGGTGCTGGGAATTGAACCTGGGTCCTCTGCAAGAGCAGTCAGTGCTCTTAACCGCTGAGCCATCTCTCCAGCCCCGATAATACATTTTTTGAAATTAAAAATGTTAAAAAAAAGAGGTTTGAATATGGAAAGTCCAAATGAAGACAGGGAAAAGATGACCATTGATAAGGCAAGCAGAGACTCGGGAGCAACTAGCCCCACAACACTCTAACGTCAGCTTTCCAGCCTGCAGAATGGAAAGGTTCCATTCTGTTCTTTAAACTGCAGTGTCTGGCTTAGCCATGGCAAGCCAGCAAACTGATACACCACTATTACTTGATTTATCAATTTTAGACAATATTTATTATTATTCTGGCAGCTGAGGAATTAGTTCTCTTGGAGCATTCCAACCCGCCTCCTCTTTTCTCTTTCCCATCCTCACAATATAATTTCCCACAATTTACAGTTAAATCAATAGTGTTTACATTATTGACCAAGTAAATAAACTCTTCAGTCAAGCAGTAAAATACTATTACATTTTCTTTTCTTACACTTGGTTTTTCCCACCTGAAGTTAATCATGGTCATTTCTTTTTTCAATTATTTAGTTTTAATTATCTGCAGCGATTTCCCCCCAAATGTTCCACACGTAGCAGTATTTTTTTCCTAAATGCTCAACCCATCACTGACCAGTCTCTTCCTTTTCTGGTAGACCTGTGTCCCTGGACGCTTTCCTTCTCCCTCAGGTGGGGCTTGTTGCTCACTAAGCTGGTATGCAAATGTGGCCCTGGATTCCTTCATTTTTTTTTAATGTGTATGAGTGTATTGCCTGCATGTATGTAAATGCACCTATATTGTGCAGTGCCTGCAGAGGCCAGAAGAGGGATCCCCTGAAACTGGAGTTATGGGCAGTTGTTAGTTGCCTGTGGGTGTTGGGAACCAAACCCAGGTCATCTGCAAGATGGGGCAGTGCTCTTATGCAAGAACAGACAGTGCTCTTAACTGCTGAGCCATGTCTCCAGCCCCTCTTTTGCCATTCTTTACCATTGCATCCCACAAGATGTGCATCCCACATCTTGATTCTTGGTTTCCTCCCTCGTTTTACTGAGGCACGTTCTGTAGTGGCTTCTGTTGTGCAGGAATATCCTGGAAAAACTGGAAATGTCTCCTCTCAGTTCATATTGAAAGGCTGGTGCAGAACTCCATGTAACAAATCTTTCCCCAGATTAAGCCTTTGTTTCCTCTGGCAAGTCTCATGTCATTCTGATTCCTGTGTCT